CCTAAATGTAAAATAGAATAGGCAGCCCCCTCTCCTGCTTACCTTGCAGAGAGGAGGCTGTGAGCCACGATCATCGATCCCTGGTGATCTAGATCTGCTGCAGAGCTTACCAATCAATCCTTTCGCCCATCGTTCAGCGAAGACGCCGGCCGAAAGGATCCAAGTGCCGCCACAGAAGCAGCTATGCGGTCTGCATCTGACACAGATGCAGACCGTGTAGCTGCTCCCCGAAGTCTGGTACGCAATTGGCCCGCGGGCCGGTACTTTGAGACCACTGCCTTACAGCATTGCACAGTGAAGGAAGCAGAAAGCAGTTAGCAGATGCGAAATGCAGCAGTCAATAGCAACAAGTGAGTTTTCAGAGCATTGAAGTGAGAACAATGAAAGATCATTGTCATACCTGCAAACTCTTGAAAGTCAATAAACCTTTGATTGGGGTTAGCAGTAGGGATGCACCAAAACCGTTTTTTTGGTATCGAGTACGAGTAACGATAATTTGCTTTCGGTACTCGCCAATACCGAGCTTCCGTTGGCATGGAGCCGGCTTCCCGAGCAATCGGGAAGCCGGGCGGCAGGTAATGACATGCCCCCCCAACTTCCTGATTGCCTGGAAAGCCAGCTCCGTGTTGTTTGGCCGGTTTGATTGTGATTGGCCAGGAAACCGTCTTCCCAGCCAATTAGCATCAAGCCAGCCTCCCTGCCAATCAGGAAGCCAGGCAGCGAGTTGTTTGGCTCCATGTTGTTTGGCTGGCTTGATTGTGATTGGCCGAGAAAGCCAACTTCCCAGCCAATCAGCATCTAGCCGGCTGTTTGGGAGGTGGGTCATTACTCACTGCCCAGCTTCCTTATTGCATGGGAAGCTGGCTCCATGTTTCCCTACAGCACTGCCGGTCAGAGGTAATCTTCCTCTGACCGGAGGTTCCGGTATCGGGGAAGGTATACTCGCCCAAATACTCGGTATCGGCACTGATACTAGATACTAGTATCGGCACCGTGCATCCCTAGTTATGTCTCGTTCACACCTAGGCGTATAGCATATGCGCGTCTGTCACGTGACCGTCGCGCGTTTTTTACCGCGATTCACGGTAAAAAAGTTGCGCGACCGTCGCGCGTTTCCGAAAGCTACTTGGCTGTATCCCAATGGAAACGCGCAACAAAACGGTCCAAAGTAGTACATGTACCTTTTCAGGCGTGGGCCGTTTTGTAGCGCATTAGGGACGGGCGGAAATACGCCAAGGTGGGAACCAGACCCATTGAATACAATGGGATTTATATTTTTAAGCGTTTTGTAGAGCGTTTGTCGAGCGTAGAACGCGCTACAAAACGTTCAGGTGTGAACGAGGGCTTAGGAGTCCTGTCCTGTAGATGTAGTGACATAGGGGGTCGAAGGACCGCACCACAGCTCATCGCAGGAGACAGAAGCATCCAAAACGACTGGAAGAAGACATAGGGCTGCGGGAGAAGTGGTTATGGCAGGTCTTCTTTTGCAGCGACCTTTCTTTGGGATGTTTGTATACCCGGGCAGGGTTGCACCGAGGAACCATTGCCACTTTTATCTTATGTGTCGTATGCATGCATGTTACTTCTAGATTGCTTAGGTTTTGCACGGTTTTAATGTAAAAGAAGGCCCACAAAATACCACATATAAAGTAGTCAACAAATGTTATATCAAAGTATAATCTTTATTTAGGACGCAGTGATAACATGCGCAGGAAGTTATTTTGCTGGGTTTGCAACTTTACCAATGAAGAGAATGCTTCTGGTGTCGTAATTATATATAGTGAATAGGAATGGATGGTCCAAACGAATCTGAGAAGGAAGTCTCATTGGAATGGCCTCCAACACAGTGGTTGCACCAGCCTCTGTTCCCTTCTCATCCACATTGATCTTAGCTTTGTGAAGAGCCTGCACAAGAGAAACAACACCAAATTAAGTTCTAGTTGATATGGCGATTCACTGTTTTTCTTAAAGTGTCTTCTTGGGTAAAATAAAATAATAAAATTAACTGAAAGCTTAGAAAAATATTTGATGGCCTGCCAGAAACCTGGTGAGCTCTTCACAAAAAAAAACTCCCCTTCTTCTCATCACAATACCACAGAGATGGTCTGGGCAGAGGTCATAACACTTGGTGCAGTGCAGTAAAGGAAGGAGCACAGGATGTTAGGAGCTCACTGTATTTCTGGCAGGATCAGAAGGTATTTGCCTGTACTTGCAGCAATAATAAATGGGACAAACATTGGAAATGTGCGTGTATTGCAGAGATGTACTGAATATGGTTTTATTGTTATTATTTTGCCCAGAGATTACTTTAAAGTTTAATTTTAGGCACAAATTAAAAAAAAAAAAAACACCATTTCATGCAATTTTGTATTCTACGAAGCAAATATCCTTTTCATTAAAATGCCCTCCCCCCCCACCCAGGACACATTTATATCCTGAAAACTATTAAATGAAAATTAACATAGAAATAAAAGGTTGAAATGCTCACCTTAGGAACCCCAGTGATTCCAGAAAGGTCACCGCCGCTGGAAAATAATTGCAGTTGAAATTTTCAGGTCGGGAGCCCCAGTGATTCCTGACAGATCCGCACTGTCGGAAAACAGATCAACTATTCCGAATTTAGGTAGGACTTCCTTTAGGTCAATGGAACCAGAAATAGAAAACTTGGGGATGCTTAAATCCACGATGCTGTCCGAAGAAAGAAGAAACAATGGGGTGTTAGCAGGAAATACTAATTATTACTTGACATCAAAAGCGTAAGTGCAAATAAAAAAATAAAAAAAAAACATTGGTATTCTTTTTTTTTATGGCTGAGCCCTACCCAGCAGCTTGCCGTTTTGAAGTATACATCGACCCTTCCCTTGAAAAAGCAGTAAGCAGTAGATGAGCAACTTAATAAAATGGATCCTAAGGGGTGGGGGAGGAGGAACAGGCATCCCAGGAAAGAGTGTTGTCACTGTTGTGTGATGCAGAGCATCCCTGGAATCCTTCCAGCTAATAAATGAACTTTGCACGATATTCTAATTATTCGAGTTTCACCTGTATATTCTTGGCTTATTTCTTGCAAGAGATCAAGGGATGCAAGTTTGCATTTTGGAAGGATGCTAGGGCCACATTCTTTGATAGCTTCTTGTATTTGTAGGGGTGGACTTCTCAGCCAGTTGGAGGACAAAAGAAGAGAAGGAAGTGCTGTGTCAATCATGAAGTTGCAAAGCTGAATGTGTACAGGAAGCCTACAAGACTGCAGACAGGAAGCGGCAAAGGAATGAACACTGAGAAGGAGAAAAGACAGGAAGCCTACAAGACTGCAGACAGGAAGCGGCAAAGGAATGAACACTGAGAAGGAGAAAAGACAGGAAGCCTACAAGACTGCAGACAGGAAGCGGCAAAGGAATGAACACTGAGAAGGAGAAAAGACAGGAAGCCTACAAGACTGCAGACAGGAAGCGGCAAAGGAATGAACACTGAGAAGGAGAAAAGACAGGAAGCCTACAAGACTGCAGACAGGAAGCGGCAAAGGAATGAACACTGAGAAGGAGAAAAGACAGGAAGATGGAGCACAATCACTGAGGTTGTAAAGCTGAATGTGTACAGGAAGCCTACAAGACTGCAGACAGGAAGCGGCAAAGGAATGAACACTGAGAAGGAGAAAAGACAGGAAGATGGAGCACAATCACTGTCTGTCAAAGAGACAGCACACCCCCCCCCCCCCCCCCCCTTTTTCTTTGATATATAGGAAATAAGACATTTCCTTACTCCCTGTGTTTGGATCTTTTCCATTTCTTCACTATGTACTTCAAGTTTGCCTCAACTTCTTCCAGTTTGCCTTCGTTGGGTAGGATGAATAAGGCAGAGGCGTTCCCTTTGTAGGGGACAGCTACGACGGTTGCTTCGTCCAAGACCGCAGTTTCGTAATTGCCAGTCCTGGACAGGAAAGGCACCTTCACAGTCTCATCCTTATTCACATGGAAATCTCCTTCTTTGGTAGATTTCTCATCAAAAGGATTTTCCCACTTTCCTAACAATAAATATACGATAAATCAATATATATATGAATGAAAAATACATTAATTAGGTGAGCACCTGTCACAGGAGAAATCTGTATACTGAAGCTTTTGTAGGTTTATAGGTTAATCCTTGGGTTACATTCATCCACCATCTCTAGCTGTCTTTTTCCAGTGTGGCAGAAAGTGATGGCAAATGTCAAATTTTACGGTTGTTGGTAGAACAGGAGAGCAAATCTTCCAATGGGGACATTTGTTCCGGTGACAACTATCTAAGGGTATTTAGATGGTGTTTTTAATCAATTTCTACTGTATGTAAAAAAATTATCTTTAGATTTACTGTAACTTATAGTACACTCAGCGCCCTCATACCAGAGATCTATGTTGGTCATGATGGTTTAAGCCACTGGTTGACAGCCGGCCGAGCGCTGCGAAAGGAGAGCGCTGTGTTTGTGGGCTTATGGGGGGGGGGGGCCCAAAAAAAAATCTTGCACCAGGGCCCTTTGTTCCCTAGCTCCACCACTGTTCCCCACCCCTGGTTTAAGCTGATGCTCTAACTTTCTACCTAATATATTGTCTGTTTTGGAACCAGTGGTTGCTGCACTTGAGAAAAAAAATTAACACTAGAAAGTCCTCAGTGTTGGTTTGACCTGACAAGTTAGGAGTTGTCAATATCTGCATATGCCCATTCCTACAAACCTATAGGGAGACCTTCCCATCATTATATATATTATTGATGAAAGGGGTCACCACAACAAATAGAAAGGGTGAACCATCGGGGACACAGACAGAAATTAAAACATTTGATAGAGGTTCTGGTCTTTTCTTATTATGTTCAAAACTGATTAAAAATCTTGTGTATATTCATTTTAAGCAAACACAACAGTACAGCTGGCATGGGTGAAGCTCTGATCCAGCCGTGAGGTCCTGCTTCCTGAAAGTGGAGCTACTTCACCATAATGATGCACAGGTGTGCTGTACCTTGGAGTTAGAAATGTAGATTTTACAACATGACCAGATCCATAAAGAACAGAATACCAAAAATTTCATTTCATCTCCATTTCTAGCTAATGATGGCTGGGTCTGGTCAGTGAACTCTTACAAAGGAGTTGTCGGCATTTCACAAGAATGGCAAAGAAACTTTCAGGAGTGGGTTATCCTATACCTTATAGAGGGGGGGCCCATTAGGTAGATCGTGATCTACCAGTAGCTCTCAAAGCCGATGCTGGTAGATCCCAAAGGGTGTGAATGGCGGCCCCTTTATTCCATTTTGGTATATTTATTTAGCTGTGCACACATGATTACCTATTAGTGTGAGCCTGCTGAGCCAAGCTCCCTGACACCTTTCTGATGGATACCGGTGGTTAAAGTGCTATGTATTACATCAAAGAATATACTTTACACAGCCTGTTGCAAAATACAGCAATGTGAGCCAGGAGAGAGAGCGGGGAGAGACAGACAGGGGAACGAGGAGAGACAGCCAGGAATGAGAGAGAGGAGAGACAGCCAAAAGAGCAAAGAGAGACAGCCAGGAGAGAGAGAGCGAGGAAAGACAGTCAGGAGTATGAGCAAGTCAGGAGAGAGAGCGAGGGAGTTTTTTTTTTCCGTGGCTAGATCTCATGTAGCTCGTCATTTGAAAAGTAGATCTTAACACAAAAATTGTGGGCACCCCTGCCTTATAGCATGGGTCATGTTGGGGGGTACTTACTGGGGTCAGACAAAAGCGAAGACAGCCCTAGAGGGGATCCCTGGATGTTAACAGGAAATCTCCCATGATAGACTACAATGTCACATTTAGTTTACTAATTTGTATTGAGATTGTAGTCCATCCAGGGAGCGAGCTTGGAGCAGTGACTACTTTACAAGACACACAGGGACCATGGGGAACAAACGTAGCCCCCCTCCAGAAGGAAGGACAGTGTCAGCACCAATTCAGAGATGATTTGAGGACCTACAGCCGAGTGATACACAAAGAGCTTTATGTTTGTTAATAGTTAAGGTACTTGAATGCATTTTGAAAAACATTTAAATCCTTTTTAATTTTCTAATATAATGTAATTTTGTTGACTTACCTCTGAAATAGATGAAGTTAATAAGAACTAAAGCTGCCTCTTTGCTTACACTGCTCAGCACATCAACAATATTGCCATTTGTTTCCTTTTCAACGTAGCTGTTGATTTGTTTTGTAGCCTCTTCAGTATTTTGGAAGTCTACAGTGAAGGCTTCGGTATCGTAGAGATTGTTGCCATTGTTAAGAAAGTCGTCAAGGATTTTCCACGCATTACTAATAAAAAGGCCATTCCCACTGTTGAGTTGCAGCTCACTGTCCTCATCATTCAGCACCTCCAGCAGATGGTGGAAGCCTTCATGGATTTCTTTCTCAGGGATCTCAGAGGTGTTGAAACCAATGCCTTCTATGATCTGGTCATGGGTATTGGCTTTGGCACCGAGGGACAAGAAAGCCAATGCTGTAGATATACTTACTGGGGAAATGACAATGTTTTCTGATGGATGGCCTAATGCTATTTGTCTATAGAGATCAAATGCAAATTTGGAATTGCTAAGTGCTAATTTAAGGCAGGCAAGTGTCTCATTTGAATGGTGATGGTGCTTGTGGTGATGATGGTGGCGGTGGTGGCCATGGTGATGGCCATGGTGGCGGTGGCCATGGCGGTGGTGATGATCACCTTTCTTCTCGTGGTCGTCTTTGTGTCCACGTTTCTTCCCCTCGTCCTTGTGGTGGTCGGCAAAGACCACTGAGCAAAAAAGAGCAACACTTAATCCCAGGATCAGTATGGCCCTCATGTCCCTTAAGAGAGAAGAAAATGCAATGGTAATCTTGAACAATAGCTACTGTAGTTAAAAGGAGACTATAATAACTTGGGGTCAGCTTGATTATTTGAGCTCTTTAAAAAAAAAACTGGCTTTTCAGGATAGAAAGTAAAGGGGAACTGACAACACATGAAAAGGAGTGAGACATCCATGTTCTGGCTGGATTTAAAAATACAAAATATGTGCAGTATTTCAGATTTGCCTTACTAATAGGGTTCAGGTTCAGATTTATTGCTACTGTAGCTTCACACCAAATCCTGTATAGGCATTGAACTATAGCCAGCAGGCTTAGCAGGCCCTATAATAGGGCTTTTGAATACGCCATCTCCCTAGTTAGTACTAGATTGAAGATGATTTATTGGCTCACTCACCCACTGTCTTGCTGTACCTCCTACGGAATTCAACATCGGAATCTAATAGCTTCAATTCCCAACTCTGCGTCACCCATCTATCATTTTAGCGAAGCCCCACACTCGACGCTAAGGGCCATACTCTTACATGTTCCACTGATCTTAGAATAATGCTGCAGCTGGAGTAAGACCCACTGTGTTGTCTTCGAACTCCCCAGTCCTGCGTAGAACCAAATTATGAAAAATAGGAACTTACAAGCTTGGATGTCCTAGGACGTCAAACCCAAATATCACTACCCAAGTTATATAAAAGCATCTGCCGAGGGATTCAAAGATGAAGTATCACTTTTGTGCAGAGTGACCCCTCCAGAAGCAAAAAGAATTGGTCCAAAATCCCTTTAAAAGTTGAACCTCTTAAACGTTGCTGCCAATCTAGCCTACAACGTCTCGACCTCCAAAACCTGAGTTTAATTCCCTCTTAAGCCCTCATTCGCATGACTAACAGCCGGCCCGTACAGATCCGTGCTGCGTGCACGGCTGTATCGGGCTGCTCTCGTGTGAATGAGCGCTAAAAGTGACACTAAACTCAGGAGTTAAACCTGAAAAATGCACTAAAGTATCCTAACTATTAACAAAAATGTATCTCATTTGTTTATCAATTGGCTGTAGGACCTCAAATCATCTCTGAATTGGTGCGGGCACGGTCCTCTACTTCTGGAGGGTGGCTACTTTTGTTCCCCATGGTCCCTGTGTGTGCTGTAAAGTGGTCACCACTCCAAGCTCACTCCCGGGATGGACTACCATCTCATGTTTAGTTTACTAATCTGAAAGGAGATTGTAGTCCACGCCAGGAGCGAGCTTAGAGCGCTGACTACTTTACAACACACACAGGGACCATGGGGAACACAAGTAGCTCCCCTCCAGAAGGAAGGACAGTGTCAGCACCAATTCAGAGATGATTTTGACTAGATTTGATCTACAGCCGAGTGATACACAAATAAGATACATTGTTGTTAATGGTTAGGGTACTTGAATGTATTAAGATTTAACTCCTGAGTTTCGTGTCACTTTAATACTCCTCGGGCCAATAAAAAAGTTGGCCTACCACCCTTCACCCCCTCAATCCACCTATCAAAAAACTCAAGAGACCAACATGTTACACCCCATATAAAACACTTGATGGGTGCAGCCGACTGTTTTATAGCATGTGGGAATATCTCTTTTTTTTTTTTTGCAATGTTCTTATGATAACCTATACATAAAAAGCAATGACAATTATTGTATGCATCATTTTAAAACACAACAATATTAATAAAATATAAAATATAGTGATCTAGAATCTCCCTTTAAAATATTCCAGGGGAATCAATTTTTTTCACCGCATAAGTTGCATTAGTGAAATAAATGAACTTTGCACGATATTCTAATTATTCGAGTTTCACCTGTGTATATATATATAAAAAAATATATATATATAAAATTGTTAAATAATTAGTAGGTTTTGTATACTCACTCGCTACTGAATTCTGAGGTCCTCGGAGAATTCTGTGATCCAATGGCCTGACTTGACCACTTATATAGGATATATGTACGCACTATTATGCAAGCCAGAGCCTCTATACCTTAATCAGATAACCTTTCCACTGTGGGCTGAGCAAATATTGGACAAATACATCCCCTGGCGTCCAGATTATCTCCAAGGATGATGCTTTTGGACTAGTTAGCTTAAAGCTAAACTCCAGGCAGATATAAATGGAACTAATTCATTCATCTTTGTAATAATTGTTACCCCATTAAATGTATTTTGCAGGCAGTGTAAGTAACTGAATTTGATCTGGTATGAGCCTCGTGCAGCCCCTGTAGAGTAGAGCTCACAGAGGTGAAGGTAAAACCAGCAATAGGAGGCAATCAGGTGTGCTTAAAGTGACATTAAAGGATATTTTTTTCCCTCCCCCCAATGTTAATGTCAGCACTTACCTTAAATGAGGTTTCTTAATCCGATCTTCCTCTTCTTTCCTGATGTTTTCATCTGTCCCTCCAGCGGCTCTCCGATCCAGCGCTGACTCCTCTGTCCCTCCGATCCAGCGGTGTCTGCATGCGGGTGCACGCGTCCATAGACTTACCTTGCTTACCTCTCTGCTCGTCTCCCGGCTGAGAATCCGAACTGCGCATGCGCCCGCCCCATGACGCTTTGCGGCCGCCCGAGCAGTTTCGGATTCTCGGGCGGGAGCGCGCAGCGAAAATGAGGTAAGTTTAAAGCCGGTTGGTAGAAGGTGAGATCAGAGTGACAGAGAAAGAGGGAGATGGACCCATCCGTCTCCTTTCACTCTCACAGGCTGGGCGTGGGGAGGAGACCTGTAAGTGATAATTAAATGGCAGAGAAAGATTGAGGAGTCCTCTCCCCTTCCAGGAAGGGCTGCGTTGTGTAAAATTCAGGACTGAATGGACAGAAAAAAAAATCTGTGGGCAGATTAAACAGTTCTTGTGTATGTAATTGATCGGTGCATTCAGCTGTCTGCCTAGAGTTCAGCTTTAAGGCATGTCATGTAAACATTGCAGAGCACAGACAGAGGGGGCAAATTGCAGTAACCAATAGAAACAAGCACATTTTTAGGGCAGAACAATGAAAGATGATTGCTGCTGGTTCCCAAAAAATTGCATATATATATATATATATACACTATATTGCCAAAAGTATTGGGACACCCCTCCAAATCATTGGATTCAGGTGTTTCAATCACCTCCATGGCCACAGGTGTAAAAAAAAACACGCACCTCGGCATGCAGACGCTTCTACAAACATTTGTGAAAGAATGGGTCGCTCTCAGGAGGTCAGTGACTACAAGCGTGGTACCACTGCATTTTCAGATTTATGGCCTTGTAAAGATTCCATCCCTTTAAAATCCCTGGAAAAAAGCCAGCTTGGCCAGCAATAGACATGATATATCTGGGAACATTTGGCAAATATTCAACAAAGGCTCTTTAGTGAAATTGTTAACAGCCTCACCTTCAGTCTGGTTATAATACTTATAAGGGTATATAGAGAGGGTGAGATACAGAGAGCACTACAAATCTGAGGGACCAACCCTACCCAACTCTGACTAAAACAAAAACATTTTTTTGGCATAAGAAACACTTTAAACTACTTATGTTTTATTTGCTCTTTGTAGTGTTGGAAGAAATTCTAATTTTGACAGAGAAAACAAGAAACTACCCTATTAAAAGCAACTTTATTACCTAAGGAGTTCCAGTTTAGTCTTCTGTACCCAGATCGGAACACTCTCAGTAGTTCTCGGATGTGAGAGTCAAGCAGTTGTGTTTCAGCTTCATTCAGAGATGTCATCAGTTTCTCATAAGAAGTCAATATTTGTTTAATGTCATCAATGTACCTAAAAACAGGTTTACATTGTCATAACAGGTCTTATGAAACAACCTCCGGTACTCAGTGTTTATTGTGTTACATTAACTGCACAAGTACATGTAGGATAATTTCGGTAATTTTTCCTTAATATAGTAAAAAAATAAAACCCCCAGTGGTGAATAAATACCACCAAAAGAAAGCTCTATCTGTCCCCAATAAAGGGTATAAAATTCATTTCAGTACAGCGCTGCATGACGGAATAAATGTCAGTTAAAGTACCGCAGCGCTGAATACTGAAAAATGGCCTGGATGGGAAGGGGGTTTAACACCGCGGATGTCAACTGGTTAACATATCAAAAATATCATATAACAAATATGATATTTGATCTTAATCAGCATACACATTATTAATAATAATATTAGTGTTCTACAGTAAAATCTCAGTTATCCTTTATTCAACTAACCAGAACTCTCATCTAACCAGAAAAAAAAATCCCCTGTGTGCTCACTGATCTGCAGCATGTATTATCCTGGAAATGATCTTGTGCCTATTTGTCTTAATTTGCTTTTGATTACTGCATTTCAATATTAATCTGAAGTCAATACAGAGTTTATGGTATAGTATGGGGGTATAGTATGGGGTATATTATGGGGGTATAGTATGGGGGAATAGTATGGGGTATAGTATGGGGGGTAGTATGGGGTGTAGTATGGGGGTATAGTATGGGGTGTAGTATGGGGGATAGTATGGGGGTATAGTATGGGGGCATAGTATGGGCTATACTATGGGGGTATAGTATGGGGGTATAGTATGGGGTATATTATGGGGGTATAGTATGGGGGAATAGTATGGGGTATAGTATGGGGGGTAGTATGGGGTGTAGTATGGGGGTATAGTATGGGGTGTAGTATGGGGGATAGTATGGGGGTATAGTATGGGGGCATAGTATGGGCTATACTATGGGGGTATAGTATGGGGGTATAGTATGGGGTATATTATGGGGGTATAGTATGGGGGAATAGTATGGGGTATAGTATGGGGGGTAGTATGGGGTGTAGTATGGGGGTATAGTATGGGGTGTAGTATGGGGGATAGTATGGGGGTATAGTATGGGGGCATAGTATGGGCTATACTATGGGGGTATAGTATGGGGGTATAGTATGGGGTATATTATGGGGGTATAGTATGGGGGAATAGTATGGGGTATAGTATGGGGGGTAGTATGGGGTGTAGTATGGGGGTATAGTATGGGGTGTAGTATGGGG